CAGCCAGCCGACGATTTTAGCCTTCTTTCGCTGCTTTTCCTTTTGCAGTCACAATGTATCTTCTCGCATGTCGCGATTTAAACCGCAACATCGGTGGGTGACTGGAATCGCGCGCGATTTTTGCAGCTCGCGAATTAATTCATTAATTCCATTGCTGACGTGCGTTTTTATGATCAGTTTATCAGATAAAATAGTACTGCTTTCGTCTGAAATTATATAAGCTGTCCCCAACAATTTAATAATAAGATGCAAACGCCATAAATACGAACGCTATTTCTTTTTTTTTTTGCTGCTACACGCGGAAAAAACTAATTTGTGCGCATCTCTATTATTATTATTTTATAAGTTAATATCATATTTTTATTAGATTTGTACTTTCAAAATACATTTAGTTTCTTATAATCTTTATAAAATATGTTAATGATTCTTTTTAAAATTGAGAAAGAGATTTTGAATCAGGATGTTTCGAATATATTCCTTTATTCGTCTGCAACTATTGTTTGCTAAGCCGAATAATACCTAGTGATTCTTATCTTATTTTAAATTATCTTAATTTTCAATGTCATTGTAGCCAAATATTATGTAAAAACATGTATAATTTGTTTTCTGTGTAGCTCACAGCATAAACACACACATTCTTGCGCATAGAGAGTGAATAAAATCTTTAGCTCTCTTCGCTCGTTTTCCCCCCACTCGCTCTCTCTTACTCTCTTTCGGAGGCAGTACCGTTTTCAACATTAACAGCGGCGGACAAAATCGCACTGAAATCGCGCTGCTGCTATCGCTGGGCGCCTGTTCGTTTTTGCGATAGACGCGCGACGTAAGTCGCCGCCGTTTCACTTCTGCTGCACGCTGTTTTTGGATTTGGAGGCTGCCAGAAACGCGCGACGGCGACCGCTCCGCTCCAACGAAACGCCGTCCGTTTCTGCCGCGTTTCTGTCGTCGCCGGCGATTTTTTAATTTGCGCCGATTTTGCAATGTTTTCGAGCCGCCGCCGGTCGATGTTAAAATCGTTAACAGTGGGGTCTCTCTGCGATTGCGCGGATACATTTTGTGGTTTCTCTCTCTCTATTAGAAACGAGAATTGAGATCATTTCGTAAAAATCTGAAAGATACAATATATTTGATTTCGTTTTTCAAGAGATTTCAAATTCATTTAAAGCAAATGTTAAAGAAAATGCTTTAGGTATTTTTAAAATAGAATTAAGATTTTAAATGTATTACTTTTAAAATAAAAGTAAAAGGAATTTAAATTTTGTTACAAATTCTTAATTAATATCTAAAACTGCAGCAACAAATCGTTTCATTTTATGATTAAAGTGTCGCATTCAGTTTTCCTACCTGCTTTGTAATCTAAAAGGTTCGGGTTTCACTGTACCTAGAAATTTGTTGCCTGTGACGCCGAGATTTCCTCTCTTCGTTCCCTATGTTCTGTCTCGCTCACGCGATGTGAGTAAAAATTACAATGAAGATGTGGAGACAGTTGTAAATCATGAGTTTCACAATGTTGTTGTAAATTCTCTGCCGACTTCGCTGCTGTAAAAGTAAAAACCTTTTTTGCAAGCCAAACAAATGCCTTCGTTGAAGGATTTATATGACTAGAAGTTTAATGGTTCTTATCGATTTCCTCCTTTGCTTCCTTTGAAAATTGTTTTCGGAACTATGTTCGAAATTTAATGATGCAATTTAATTGAAAATTCTAAGCCCCTCTTAAATATTATGGCGTTGTAATTTGGAGGCCCCAATATTTCTGCTCGTTTTCTTGTGACGGGACTCTTTTCTTATCGATAATGTTGGTTTTTAATGTTTATGCTTGCACTTGACGTTTTCATTGAGATTTTACGTTTACAATTATGTTTATATTACTCTCAGTACTTTGATTTCAAGCATTCGGTATGATTTATTTGTTTTTTTATTAATTCAGTACAAAGTCAAAAGAATTATCTTGTTATAAATAGGGAACCATTATTAGGAAACATTGAATCTATTAAATTTAGGGAAGACTCATTATTGAGTAAAGTGTCCCACTTTTCCTTAAATTTTATAGATTCCAATGAAAATTAAAATCAGGAAATTAAAAAAGAAATTTCAGAACATTCAGAATAATATCCCTTAAAGATATGAACCTACATCCGAATAGCTTCTAGTGATAAAGTTGTTCTATATCTAACATATCTCCATCAAAAGTTGTCAGAATGATAAATTGAATTTATCTTTTCCGTTGATTTCTAATTACAGCAATGGAGAAGTATTTCGTGATTACGTGGGTTTTCAGCTAATGCACTTGTACTTCCGTTCCATTTGACACCGCCTACCTCAATGGGTTAACGGAGTTCTGTTTTCTAATTAAACGCTGCGGCAGCGCGATAACAATAACAATATTAGCGAAGAACAGCAAACAAATCGCTCGCCTCTAATTTGACCTTTTTTTTGCGAGTGAGTTTAGTCTCTCGTTTAGTTGCTCAATCACTCAAATTACAACAGTGCTCATACTATCTCTTTAACATAACTCACTCTGCTGCTCTCCCACTCACTTTGCGCCCCCTCCCACTCGCACCTGCCCTGCCGTCTCGCTCATTCATTCACTCGCCCGTCACTGACTCGCTCGGCTTGCTCTCTCCCGGTCTCCCACTTTCTCCGTCTGCAAAAGCTGGGCGCCTGCTATTCGGTTCGGCCAAACCGCCGTTCGTTTGTATGCGAGTGGGTTTTGTTTTTGTTTCGAACGCGAGTAAAGTCGCGCTGGCGTTTCCAAAAGTGCCCGATTTTCGACTTGAGGAACCAAACCGAACCGAAAGCCCAAAAACCAGTTTCCACTGCAGCCGAGGAGTTTGGGCTTTAGGGCCTCTCGGCTTAGCCATCTCATCTCGCCTCTTGTTTACAGCTTAATTTGCCCGCATCGCCCCCTTTTGAGCCACCCCTTTGGCCCACGTGCCGTATAACTTATACAGTCGAACTTCCATAACTCGAACAAATGTAGAAATATGACTCGGAGTTCTGGACCATTCCAGCATTTCATTAAGCAACCTAAAAGTGATATTTTAAATGTTGAGTTACACTTTTAAAAAGATCACTTAAAATATTTTTTAAATATTAATACATAATTTGAAAGAAATTTAAATTAAAAATTTACTGTATAAATAATTAAAAACATTATATCCTCTAAAATTTCTTTGAGCTTTCGAGTTATGGATCTAAAAATGTATCTGATGAATTTAAACTTATGAAATACTTAAGTAGGTCGAATTAAAGAGATATTCCGTTTATAGCAGTTCGAATTATGCTATATAATTTTGTTTTATGTAGTATTAATTATGGAAGTTCTCCCGTGTTGCATATCAGGCACAAGTTGCCAAAGGTTTTCTGCTCATTTGCCCCTCCGCAACATCCAAAGTTCGTCGGCTGTCGTTCGCTGCCATTCGTTTTTCGCCCCAACGACCGTTGACTCTTTCCACAGCCATATCTACAGCACCACTGCGCTATGGCAACTGTTCCACTCGGCACTCAGCACTCAGCACCACCGATTTCTCAGCACCATCCAAAGCCAACAGCAATAGCAATAGCAGCAGCAGCAACAACAACAGCAACAGCACCACCGGGTGCTCCAACCGCTCGCCGTGTTCCATCCGTCCATCAGTCATTCATTCAACCGCCAGACGCGGCGCAGGCCAGTTCAGTTGAGTTTGTCAGTCTCAGTCTCTGTCTCTGTCTCAGTCGCTCATTCCCGATTCCATTTGGCTTTGCTTTGTTTTGTTCTCCGTTTCTCGTTTCTCGCTTTTAGAGACGGGACACGCGAATGCGAATGTGTATAAGAAAACGCGCAACGGCCGCTCGCGTTTTGCCAGCGATTAATGGCTTTAATCAGCTTTGCTTGGTGCACTGAGCGAAAAGAGGGAAACCAAATACCAAACTGATACAAAGCAAATATTTCCACAATTTAGGATTACCCACACGAGGATTATTCAATGTAAAACATATTCATTGGATCTTGTAAAGTATCTCTAAGATACATTTTTTTAAGATCTAAAATAACACTTTAAGGACATTATAAGGTTGATGATCTGTTATTATCAACAATACACCGATCGGTTTATCCTTGTGTTTTTACTGGATTTTTGTACAAGTGTATTTAGCCTTTTAAAAAACGGATAAGCGTTATCAATATTCAAATTTGTAACCTAAAATTGTATTTTACTTATAAAAACAACCTATGTATTTGGTTGTTTAAAAATACTACTACTAATTGTGTTTATTTATACATTCAAGAAATATTGCCTAATTTTAAAACAATTTTTCTCAGTGTATGACGAATATGCCTTAGACTTTCTTAAACTGTTCGGTTGCATTGTTTTTATCAGTTCTTTGAAATGGTGCTCGTCGATCTGTTTTGCCTTTAATTTGTTGTGGTTTCTTTTATACATAGATACATACTTACGTAGCCCACCGCCAATTCGTATTGTATTAGTATTGACATTACTCATAAGCTCTTTCTTTATTTTGCTCTTGCTCTCGCTTTCCGCTTCTTATCAGTTGATTCGTACATATTTAATTTTGCTTCCAACTGATCCATAAATCGCCGAATTTCGAATGCGAATGAGAGCGTAGAATAGCCGTATGACCTTGTGACAGATAAGAAAGTTTCTTTAGTTTTGGATTCAAAAAATTCTCTAAAGCTTCTGTCGGTTTTTTCAACGAGTATTATCAGTAACTTAGTAAATTTTTGTTGGCGAAATATATATTTAAAACCGGAAATCAAATATAATAATACTATCACTAGAAATTCTTTTAAAAATATATAACAGTATTTGTCAACATGACTAAATACTTAGTAATTTGAAAAATACGTTTTAAGATGTTTTCAAATGTTTCAGTGTAAGATTAAGGGACTGATTTAATCTGAATCTAATTTTATATACATTTTACAAAATTTTTTAATTTAAGTTAATTATTTATTTAAAGATTTATAATTCGAAACTAATTTATTGTTTACTCTTTCCTTACAGGACTTGACACAGGATGTTGACTTCTTGTGGTCGCTTTCACCTGCACCAGCAGCAATATCCCTCACACTTCTCCGCGTAGAATAGGCATTTCCGGTATTGCAGCGCGGGAACGGCAGCAATCAGAAGCGCTGCCAGCGGCAACCAGCTAAATCAGCCGATATCAGATATAGACAACCGATATATATATATATTCGCCGCCGCTGTCGCCGCCTTGTTCTTCGCGATTTCGTCGCCGTCAGCGTTCGCCGCCGACTGAGACGAAAGCTGCGAAGCAACGAGCGCCAGCGAAAGCCTCACCACGGACGCATTTATGGATGCGGGCGGCCTGCCAGTTTTCCAGAGCGCCAGCCAAGCAGCCGCCGTCGCCCAGCAGCAGCAACAGCAACAACAGCAGCAGCAGCAGCAGCAACATCTGAATCTCCAGTTGCACCAGCAGCACTTGGGCCTTCATCTGCAACAGCAACAGCAGCTGCAACTGCAACAGCAGCAACACAATGCCCAAGCCCAGCAGCAGCAGCAGATCCAAGTGCAGCAGCAGCAGCAGCAGCAGCAACAACAGCAGCAGCAGCAACACTCGCCCTACAATGCCAACCTGGGAGCAACAGGCGGAATTGCTGGAATCACTGTTGGCAATGGAGCTGGCGTCCCTGCGAATCCAGGAGCGGTCTCCTCTGCCCCGGGCGACTCCAAGCGAATGCCGCAACAGCAGCAGCAGCAGCAACACTCGCCCTACAACGCCAACATGGGAGCAACAGGCGGATTCGCTGGAATCACTGGTGGCGGCAACGGAACTGGCTTACCTGCAAATCCAGGAGCGGTCTCCTCGGGCCAGGGTGACTCCATGCCGGCGAAGCGGCTGCCGGTCGTCGACCGTCTGCGTCGCCGCATGGAGAACTACCGCCGCCGGCAGACGGACTGCGTGCCGCGCTACGAGCAGGCATTTAGCACCGTTTGCGAGCAGCAGAACCAGGAAACCACCGCCCTCCAGAAGCGCTTCCTCGAGAGCAAGAATAAGCGGGCGGCCAAGAAGACCGACAAGAAGCTGCCCGATCCCTCGCAGCAGCAGCAGCATCAACAGCAGCAGCAGCAACACCAGCAACAGCAGCATCAGCAGCACCAGCAACTTCAGCAGGCCCAGACGATGTTAGCCGGACAGCTGCAGAGCAGTGTTCATGTGGTGAGTTTCAAAGGATTTTATGTGCTTATTTTAAACTCCTTCCTTGTATTTGTATATTAAAGCTGTGGGGATAATAATCTGTGCTTTCTTTTATTTTTGGAATATTTTATTGTCAGTTATTGTAGGAATTTTGATCATTAAAATATTTTAAGACTTACAAAAATACCTAATTAGTTAAAGGTCAACACGGATTAGATAAAAAATATACAAAAGGATTTTTAATATATTAATGTGATTTCTTATATATTATTTGTACATGATTGTTTACAAAATATTAGGTACTTAGGGAGGTCATTATAATTGTCAAATACAAAATTTTAGAAACTAAATTCTGTAAGGCCAAGTAGAATTCATTTCAGAAGTGGTATATCCAAGAAAATTTAATAAATAAGTAGTCAATAATTCTACACAGCGACCTTCTCATAAGGAAATCCCTAGTAGTCATCCCACTCAATCTGACCGACAAAATGTGATTCAAAACGGAATATAATTTTATCGACATTGTTGTCGCCCTAGCGCTGAATTCTCGTAAGATGAGGTTGTGAAATCGATTCGGAAATTCATTGGTGTTTCAAAAGAGCTTGGGATTATCTCGCCGAATGCAAATCGCATCCAGCAGATACGCGGGTATCTCATCAATGCACGGGTTGCCTCACATTAGAGCTGGTGCAGTCCGCGGTCTCAAAAGAGCAGCGAAATAAATACGAAGCCAGCAATCCAAGCGGAGAATGCACGTACATATATATACACAAAATAATAATGAGGTCAGCGATTTTTTTTTTTTGTATTTTTTGTGTGTGCGAGTGTGCTGCTTTTTGTACTCTTTCAGTTTCAGTTCAGTTTCACTCACACACAGCTCGCATTCGAACTGCGCCGCCAACTTGTAGCTACAAGATACATTCGCTGTAGCTACAAGCAATTGTAGGTACTACTTAGCTGACTTTTTGACGTTCCTGTGGCTGCATTTGAAAATACCTTGAACAGCGGCAAAGTGGCACCGCAAAAAAGTTGTGTATATTTTGCGAATCAAAAGATATTTTTCTGAGTGATGCAAGCCGCGAATCTCGACGGCCTCTGGCTTATATAATTGTTAGTTCTGTCGACAGTCCGTCAAGCGACCCCATCGCAGCTTGTAATTACCAAAGCCAGAGCCAGAGCCAGCTCGAACTCGAGATTCTGATTCCGAGCGACTCGGAGTTTCTATTTCTTTTATCTGGGCAAACGCAGAACGTGAGCTATTCGCCGTCGACTTGCGAGATCTGTTCGTTTTGGAGTGGAGTGGAAAAGTTTTTCCGCATCCGCCTGGCCAAGTCATTTGTGTCGTTTTGCACTACTGTGCACCACGGCCCCTCCTTTCCCATCAGCACGTAATTATTCATCGCCGACTGGTAGTCGCTGATGATTTGTCCCCCTTCATTTGAATTCTTTTCATATGCAAAAAGTTGATTTGGCTCGGCCTGCAGCTAAGGATGAGGATGTTGAAGTAGCTAAGGTCTATTACGGAAAAATTTCTGAAAAGAAAAAGTCATTTAGATTGGTACCTCTTTATTAACTTATCATTCAAAGAAGTGCAGTTTTTTCTAAGCATTTGTGCAAATTATAATGACAAATGATAAGGGTTAGTGACTATTGAGGACTATTTTTTAATTTTATGTTATCTCTCAAAGAAACTGTTTACAAAATAACAAATAAAAAAAAAATTCAAATCAATGATCTCAAATAACGTACTGTTTTAAATATCCATATTTGGTCGTAAAAAAACAATTCACTCTTTAATTATAATCGGTAAAAAAAAATGATGTAATTAAAGTCAAAATGAAATCTGTAGTGTGTTTAATTCATTTCAATTATAATAGTGCAAAACAGTAAAAGATTTTAAATATTAACAATTTATCACGCTCAGGTTTTATGCTTAGGTTCAATTAATATTTGGTTTTTCCGATTTCACCATTTTGTAGATTGATAGCCCCCGTTCCATAGATCTTCCAATAATTGGACTAATTTAATTACTTTCTGATTTCGCCGTTGGCCACTCATCCATTCCTTTGGCATCTCGCCAATGAATTAATGATCAATGGAATGGGCAGGGAGCGGTTAATCTAAGTTGGCTTTTCACTTTTCATTTCTTTTATTTAGCTGCTTTTACTGTTTTGGAAAACTTTTACTGATTGTTGCCACCGCCTGCGGTTGCCGGTGAAAATCGCTGGAAATTGCGGCCGTTGTAGCCGGTGCAACATGCAAAACAAGAAAGCAACATTGCCAACACCAACAGCAACAACAATGAACCGAGTCCAACATATTGTTTATAATGCGTTGTTGTGTGTTTCGTTTTTTTTCTTTTTTTGTATTTTATTTGGGAAAGTCGCGTGTTGCCGTTTCTTCTTCAGCTTCTTCTGGCTGCACTTTTTCCACAGTTTTATTACTTTTTTGTTGTGTTCCATTCATTGTTGCCAATTTTCACTTCACTTTGGGTCGTGTGGCATTTTCTGACAGCCGTCAGTCAGTCAGTCAAAGTCTCGAAGCGCAGTCAACAAAACAAAAGTTGCATGAGCGATCTGCCCCGCCCCCTTTGAGCCTACCGCCCTCCGATTTTCCCGCTTTCCCGCCCCAAACCCCTCCTTATAGATTGTTGTTTGTTTCAAGTGGCTCTGCTTCTGTTGTTGTTGTTGATGTTGTCGTTGATGTTGCATCTTGATTGACAAGTGACAACATATTATTGGCGTATCGTCGTTGCAAGCTTAGATTATTTGTTGCTGTTGTTGTTGTTGTTGTCGCTGGGTTGTTGTGGTTGCATTTTCATTGTTTATCGCTCCTGAAGAAGCCACCGCCTCCGCCTCCACTTGTGGGCGTGTCCTGCAAAGTTGCTTAAATTACAGCGAGCTGGGTAATTTATATATTGAGGTAGTTAAGGTGAAATTGTACTACGAACATGTGGAAACGGATGAAAATTCCAGGGGTACGTGCTGTGATTTGTTTTTGTGAATAGTAATTTAAAGACATGTGATATTAATACCGTGTGCTCCAGAAATCTCTAGAGATTTAACGAATTTTAAGGTGCATGTACCTCATATAAATATGCACATTTATCAGCAGGTTAGTTTATTACAATAGTTTTTCCAACCGATTACATACAAATCAGGTAATAATAACTTTCCTGGCAGTAACTTTACCTTTCGGTGTGCAAAAGCTTAAAAATGTTTATTGCAAACAATTTCAAACGCGTGTAAAACATTTATTAATAATTTATAGTTATTAATAATGAATAGTAATTTATGCAAATAGGATTTATTATTTCTACATTCAATTCATTTGACAAATTTAAGGCCCCCTTGAATTTGTAAAACACTTCAAATCATATTTGAATATCCGTAGATAATTCTAGATTATACCTGAACATTTTCATCTGGAAAATTCATTGTCCTAGCTCAATGTTTAATTTATTATACATTATTTCAAAGTCTTCGCCTTGCCTTTTTGTTCAACTTGTCGGCAATTTATGTATTTTAAAACATTTTACACATTTTTGTTAAATGCATCATTTATCTTCGACTCGCCATCGAAGTTGGGGCAGACTGAAAATTGCCAAACCGCCCACTGGGGAAGCCCCCTTGCCACCTCACCCTCCGCCCATGTCTTCGTTAAGGGGATTCACCTTAACAGTCTGCACCCCTTGCGTGCTCTGTCTTTTGGCCTAACGAAGATATGGATGGGTTTGAGTGGGTCTCTGGAAAAAAAGGGGGGCTGTAAGTGGGAAGTGAGCAAGGGGGAAGGGGGCGGGTGAAAGGGCAGGGGCGTGGAACGGAAACGGGGGGACACCGACGCCGCCGACGTTGCCTCAACAAAATCGATTCCATTTCGACAAATGGGGGAAGGCAAACAGCCGAAAAAAGCAAAGAAAACGAATTGCAGACGAAAAGTTGAATGCGGCCTGCACTTGACTACAGATGAGGGGGGATGCGGGGGGGATTGATATATGCAGTATATAGCAAATGATGTGCGGGCTATATACGTGGCGGAATAAATTATTGCCGGATTTCTGGAATAATATTGTTGCGAATGGCAATGCATTTTCTTCGATTATTTCTTATCATTTATTGCATCGCCAACGAACTGCAACTCATGTTGTAAATTCGTCTTAAGATTTTTAATTTCGGGGGTGCCTTTTTAAAAACCTTACGTATTTTTACAGGTTTACAATTTGATCAGACCCAATAAATCGCCATTAAAATGTCAACAAGCCTTTGAAGGTCCTTGAGCTCCACAGTAAACAAAATTGCGTGTTTGTCACGCATTGCTCATTTTGAGGAAAGTGAGGGGTTGTAATATATTTCCATATTCGCTGCACTTCAAAGGCTTCGTTTTTGTGCGTGATATCCTTGTACCTTCAACACAGGGAACCTAGAATAAAGCTGTCGGAGAGGAAGGATGTTTCCAAAAACACACACACACATATACACCTACATATACTCATACAATGAATTTTGCATCTTTTATTTATTATGTTTGGCAAATTTCATTGCATATTAAAAATGCAATTTTCCACAAGAAGAGGAGCTTTTCCATCGCCTTCCTGCCATCCGGCCATTTATCCTTTACCATCCTTTCGAGTTTTCAGGCCGTCAAAGCTCTTTTTGGCCCTGCGAGCTTTAAGTTCTTGAGTCTGGCTTTTGTCAATTGTCTTAAGCATTTTAATTGCTTTACGTTTGTCGTCGCAAAGTTGTTGTTGTTGTTGTTGTCAGGGCAAAAATAATAAACAAGAGAAAGGCGTAACAGAAAAGACTGAAAAGTATGAGGAGGTGTGTGTGTGTGTGGTTTGTCGAGTGGCTTGCTGTGGATTTTTAACCCTTAAATAATAATCGCTGGGTAATCGCACTTTTTTTTTCGATTTTATTTAGGGATTTCCATTGAGAACGCAGGGGAATTCTCGTTTTTATGCTCGACCCATCCACACATCATCAGCAAAACAAACCAGGCGGAACTTCCCCTACCTTCCTTTCTTT